GCTCCTTTGCAGTAGGACCATCAAACAATTTCAAGTTTTGAGTTTCCTACCTATCCCCATTCTTCCCGTATGTGCTCTCCCCTCAGTGTGTGACCAAGGTCCAACAACATTACTGCTTTACCCTAGATCTAAAGTCTGCATATGAGAGAAAGCATGATTTTTGGTCTTCTGAAACTGGCTAACCTTGCTCAGGATGATGTTCGTGAGTTCCATCCATTTACTTGTGAATGATAAGATTTCATTTTTCTTCATGGCTGAGTAAAATTCCATAGTGTATAAATACCACATTTTCTTAATCCATTCATCAGTAGTGGGGCATCTTGGCTGTTTCCATGACTTGGCTATTGTGAATAGTGCTGCAATAAACATGGGTGTGCAGGTGCTTCTGAAGTAACCTGAGTTGCATTCCTTTGGTTATATTCCTGGGAGTGGTATTGCTGGATCATATGGCAGATCTATGTTTAGTTTTTTAAGAAGCCTCCATATTGTTTTACTGAGTGGTTGCACTAGCTTGCATTCCCACCAGCAGTGTAAGAGGGTTCCTTTTTCCCCACATCCTCACCAACACCTGTTGTTGGTGGTGTTTTTGCTGCAGGCTATTCTAACAGAGATGAGGTGAAATCTTAGTGTGGTTTTGATTTGCATTTCCTTTATGGCCAGAGATGGTGAGCATTTTTTCATGTGTTTTTTTGCCATTTGAATTTCTTCTTTTGAAAAAGTTCTGTTTAGTTCAGTTGCCCATTTCCTTATTGGTTCATTGATTTTGGGAGAGTTTAGTTTTTGAGTTCCCTATATATTCTGGTTATCAGTCCTCTGTCTGATGTATAGCTGGCAAATGTTTTCTCCCACTCTGTGGGTTGATCTCTTCAGTTTAGAGACCATTTCTTTTGTTGTGCAGAAGCTTTTTAATTTTATGTAGTCCCATCTGTCCATTCTTTCTCTTAGTTACTGGGCTACTGGGGTTCTATTGAGGAAGTCCTTGCCTATACCTATTGCTTCCAGAGTATTTCCTGCTATTTCCTTTCCTAACTTCAGAGTTTTGGGTCAGATATTAAGGTCCTTGATCCATTTTTAAGTTGATACTACTACAGGGTGATAAACATGGATGTAGTTTCATTTTTTTGCAGGCAGATACCCACTTTTCCCAGCAACATTTGTTGAAGAGGCTGTCTTTTCTCCATCATCTGTCTTTGGCGCTTTTGTCAAAAATAAGGTGGGCATAGCTGTGTGGATTCATATCTGGGTCCTGTACTCTCTTCTACTGGTATTCATATCTGTTTTTGTGCCAGTACCATGCTGTTTTTATTGCTATTGCTTTGTAATATAGTTAGAATTCCAGTATTGTGATATCTCCAGCATTGCTCTTTTTTGCTGAGTATTGCCTTGGCTATTCGTGCTCTCTTGTGTTTCCAAATGAACTTTAAGGTAGATTTTTCAATCCCTGTGATGAATGTCATTGAGATTTTGATGGGAATTACATTAAACATGTATATTGTTTTTGGTAGTATAGCCATTTTTACTATGTTGATTCTACCAATCCACGAGCATGGGAGATTTTTCCACCTTCTATAGTCTTCCTTGATCTCTTTCTTCAGGGATTTGTAGTTCTCCTTGTAGAGGTCATTCACATCCTTTGTTAAGTATACTCCTAGGGATTTAATTTTTTTTTTGAGACTATTGTAAATGGATTTGTTTCCATATATTCTTTATCAATTTGTTCATTGTTGATGTATAGAAAAGCTAATGATTTTTCTAAGTTGATTTTGTATCCTGCCACCTTGCTGTATCTGTTTATGGTGTCTAAAGTTTTTGGGTAGAGGTTTTTGGGACTTTAGGATATAGGATCATGTTGTCTGCAAATAGGGATATTTTGAGAGTTTCTTTACCTATTTGTATTCCTTTTATTTCTTCTTCTTACCTAATTGCTCTGGCTAGGAAGTCCAGGACTATGTTGAATAGGAGTGGGGGTAGTGGGTACCGTTGTCTCATTATTGATTTTAGGGGGAATGGTTTCAGTTTTTCACTGTTAAGTATGATGTTGGCTGTATGTTTGTCATATTTAGCCTTGACAATGTTGAGGTACATTCCTTCTATTCCTAGTTTTCTTGGAGCTTTTAAGAAGTGGTGGTGGATCTTGTCGAAGGCTTTTTTTGTATCAATTGCAATGATGAAGTGGTTTTTGTCTTTGCATCTATTAATGTGCTGTATTACATTTATAGATTTGTGTATGTTGAACCACCCTTGATCCCTGGGATGAAACCGACCTGTGTTGTGGTGAATGATCTTTCTGACATGTTCTTGGATTCTGTTTGCCATTATTTAATTGAGGATTTTTGCATCACCTTTTTGCAGGTGTCTTTGTCTGGTTTTGGGATGAGTGTAATACTGGCTTCATAAAATGAGTTAGGCAGTGTTACTTCCCTTTCTATTTCATGAAAAGTTTAAGGAGAGTTGGTATTAGTTCTTCTTTAAAGGTCTGATAGAATTTAGCTGAGAATCCATCAGGTCCTGGACTTTTCTTTTTTGTGAGACTCTTTATTGGTGCTTCAATTTCACTTTGTGTTATCAATCTATTCAGGTGATTAATATTCTCTTGGTTTAATTTTGTGTGGTTATAAGTATCTAGAAATTGGTCCATTTCTTCAAGATTTTCAAATTTATTGGAATATAGGTTCTCAAAGTAGTCTCTGATGATTCCCTGAATGTCTGTTGTGTTTGTTGTTATCTACACTTTTGCATTTCTGATTTTATTGATTTGGGTTTTTTCTCTTCTCATTTTAGCCAGGTTTGCCAATTTTGTTTATTTTTCAAAGAACCAGCTTTTTGTTTCATTGATTCTTTGTATGTTTTTTTTCTGTCTCTATTTAATTAATTTTGGCCCTTATTTTTAAAGAACAAACAATCAAAAATTCCAGGTTCAGGAATAATAAAATTTCAGTTTTATTTTAAGTTCTGGTGTTACTCTTCCAGCATCCAATCATTGTGTTGATATGTAAGCTCTGTTGTAGTCTCACCAGGTGGTTGGGTAGTGTTTTTTTTTTTTTTTTTTCTTCTGTCTTTCAGAGGCAGCTGCTTGGTCAGCTCCTCCCTCAGTATGGTGTGGCAGTTTAAGTTTCTATGTTGTCCTCATGTTCCAGAATCAACTCTGTGGCCCACCAGCTGTCCTGCTTTGGAGTTGGGTTTTCGCTGTGCTTGATTACTGGGGGCTTGTTTCTTTGCCTCACCCCCTTTGTCTGGGGCAAGGTCAGCAATCTAGGCCAGCCCCCTGCTGTCAGCATGTTGTGATGGTTTGCTGATTATTTTTCAATTTTGCAGTGTTGTTTGACTTTGGATATTGCTCACTGGCTCAGGAGATGAACTTTGTGGACCTCTACCTGCCCTATTTCAGGCAGTGGCTTATCATCCACCCGCTGTGGGCCCTTCTGCCTTTCCAACTTTTGTTTACTAAAAGTTCATGCGGACATCAGCTCCTTGCCCCTCTCTCCTTCTCCAGTGTGCTTTCAGTAACTCCGCCCCTCTGCTGTGTGTTGGTTTTCAGTTTCTTGTTTGTTGTTCAGTTTTTTGTTTATTTGTTTTTGTTTTTGCAGTGGGGGTGGTCAGTCAGCCCAGGGGCTATGCTGGTTTATCCTAGAGGTGGCTGGGGGATAGCGTGTGATGCTTGGTGCTCACCTGTTAGTCTGCTGAATATCTCCCAAGCAGGTTTGGAGCCAGCATCTGCCGGTGTGGCAACCCTCCTGTTTTCTCTGTATAATGTGGTGTAGAGAAGCTTTCCACAGGCTAGAAGTTCAGGGTGTGGAAGTTTTGATTCTTCTTGCTGCTTTATTTCCACCAAGTGTGGCTCCAGCATCTCAGCAAGGTTTTGGAGTCACAGAGCTCATGCTGTCTGCTTCTACACCCTAGTCGCCATCTTGCCAGATGTGCAGGTAAATTTTTGTCACTTCTAGTCAACAGGATTGCCAATATCTGCTTGGTTCCAGTTTGGAAAATATCCAAAGTATATTTGGATGAAAGTTGGGATTGATGACAGGTTTTCTTATGTTTTCCTTTTCTCAATGTTCATATTCTCTGGTAGTTGCCTTCCAATTTCTGTAATCCTGCATAATTGTTTTATATTTAAATCTGATAACATTTTAAATATTTTAAAAGTTTTCTTAAATAATTTATTTTCTTCCTTGCTTATTCTTCTTTGGTACTCAGCCTTCTCATGTACTTCCTCTTCTTTAATTGAGTGAAACATTGATTTTGCAAAAAAATATTTTTACTAATAATTTGAGAAATAAGATAAGTCTTTTCTTTTTTTCTGGACTTGAATGTAGTCTGCTTTTTTAAGGAACCTGAGATCACTCTGAGATGGTCTATGTCTAACTCAAAAGATTCCCTAGGACTACCTAAGTAGCACAAATTTAGATGCAGATTGCTTTGATGGCTGGCACACTTCTGATTCAGCTTGAACTTGAGTACTTTAGAGTTTGATACCCTAATTTATCAAGGAATGTTTCTTTTTTAAATCCTTGGTATTTAATAGGCCTAAGGCATTGATTTTTTTTCCTTCTCAACTAGCTAATCTCTCAAAATGAATCTTCAAATTCCCTGGGATGGGCAAATAATCTTAAAGACAAAGTATCTTCAGTGATTTGCCTGTCTTTTGGGGTTCTTTGTTTTTCTTGTCAATTCATCCTTCAAACTTATTTCTGTCTTGTCAGTTTCTTAATGCTTTCAAAAGGTTTGTGTGTGTGTGTGAATAGTTCATCAGTTTTGGTTGTGTTCATTATAGGAAATGTTGGATCAAATAACCTAGAAAAACAGTAATAGTGTCTATATTAACTTTAAAAAATTTCAGATTAATACGTATATTAGTGTACTAAATACAATTTTATTAGTTTGCATTTATATTTATTAAATTGACTTTCAATTTTCTTAAAATAATTTCATTGATTAAATACTAAAATTATGCTTTCTTTGACTGAAATAAATATAAAAATGCTTCTTTAACTTCTCAGAGTCGTTTGGATGTGTATTTTTCACACAACCCAGCAGGAACGTCTGTTCAAAATATGCTCCACTGGAGTCAGGTATAACTGCTACAGTGTGTTTCAGTATAATTTAATTTATACTACTCATGCTTTGCCAGTGCCATAGACTGACACATTTAGAATGATAAAACTAAATTATATCTTTTTATAATTCTTTGTAGTTTATAAATATGTTAATAAATAAAAATTGGACCTTGGAGTGGTAGCAGTAATGAAAAGGCCCTGATATCAGGGTGAAATAGTTCATGCAGGGCAAAGGGCAAGATCCTTAAAGAGATCAAGGAACCCAGAGATAGGTGATGTTGTCAGAAGGATTAGATCACTAAATATCAAGGCAGGAATACTTTTAAAGAGAATATCACTAGGTAAGAACAAAACAGGTAGAATAACTAGAAAAACCTGGAGTTTAAAAGGTGCTAGGAGCAGCAAAAGATAGGGAGTGATGTAATTGAATGACATGAGATTCAAAGTTTGGAAGTAATTTCTTATGGAGGAAGAAGTAAGAATTGTCTGGAAGAAGGAATAATGGGCAAAGAGGACTGGCTTAACTCACAAGTCCAGTACTGCCAGGTATATGAGAGGAAAAAAGTAGCATCCCATGGGGAGGTTCTATTTTGGTCTAATCTGTTTGGTGTCCTTGAGGCTTCCTGTACCTGAACGAGCAAAACTTTCTCAAGATTTGGGAAATTTTCTGTTATTATTTTATGGAATATATTATGAATCCCTTTTGCTTGGACCTGTTCTCCTTCAATACCCATGATTCTCCAGTTTGGTCTTTTCATAGAGCATGAGTTCTTGCATATTCCTTTAGCAGTTCTTGAGTTGTTTGACTAAGATTGCTTTTGTTTTTTCTTTAATTTCTATTTTATCTTTGAACTCTGAGATTCTGTTTTCCACTTGTTCTAGTCTGCTGGAGTTGCCTTCCACTGTGTTTTTTTTTGTTTTTTTTGACTCAAGAGACTTTTTATTTCCAGGATTTCTGTTTGATTCTTTTCTCTGAGGTTTTCTATATCTCCTCTTTTATATTTTGTGTTGTCATCTTTAATTCATGTATCTCTCTTTTTTTAGTGTCCTCTGTTTCACTTTGATGTTCTTTAAAGTCCTCTCTGAGTTCATTTATTTCTTTCTCTGTCTTCTCATGTTCTTAATTTTGGTGTCTTGTAATTTCTTGTGTATGCCTTGTACTTTTTAGTTAACTATATCTAGTATCTTATCCACGAATCTCTCAGTGGTATCTTCTAAGATTTCTTCTTTGAGGGTATTTATGTAGGTGTCACTTGCTCATTACTGACATATCTTATTGTTTTGCTGAGGTCAGAACTGGGTATCCATTTCCTTCATGTCCCACTGAATCCTGCATTGAATTATTTTTTTGAGGAGAGTGGTTTCCATCCCTTGCTCTTCTTCCCATCACTCCACTTGTGCTGTGCTACTATGCTTTTGATAGGCTTGTTGGTGATTTGGTTGCTGATTTCTTTCTGTGATTTTAATTTTTGTGTTGTGACTGATTTGGTTGTTAGCTAGGTTGATGTGCTCTTTTTATCCCTGACCTAGAGATGTAATTTAGCAACAACAAATTCACAGGTTCAGTGGCAGACTGGTTGTTTACATATTATATAGAAAACCCCTTGATGATAATATCTATAAACAGTGGGAGTTGGAGAGGGTAATGGTTATTAGGCTAGTTATAGATTTGGGGGAATTTGTAAAGGTGCCACTAAAGGTAGGTGCTGGAATAGTCATTGGTGGGTGGGGGAAGAAGTATGAAGGCTGCTAGGTTTTATGGCCCTTGTGTGTGTTTCAGTATTTCTATTGTTGTCATGGAGAGTGCTTGTGTCAGGGATTGCAGGGGGTTGGGCTTGTGTATAGTTATTAGAGTAGGCTAGTCATTGTGGTGAGTGTGTAGGAGGGAGAGGTAGTGTGGTGACAGGCTGGGGGAGGATAGAGGGTGAGGTGAACATGGAGAAAGAGTAGATGAGAAAGGGCAGAAAGAGTAGTTGGGAGGGAGAACAATGGATTGTAGCACAGGAGAAAGAGGGAAAGTGAAGAGAGTCAGAATAGGGATAAGAGAATAGTGATGATGGAGTTAATAATGCAGGAATTAAAAAACAAAAAACACCAACATCAGGAATCACAAAAAGTTCAGTCTTTTTTAAAAGATCTGGAGTTATTCCTTACGTGTCCAATCCTTGTATTGGCATACAAGTGGAAGCTCTGATACAATCTCACCAGGTGACTGGTTGTGAGTAGTATTTGGTCCTTCTGTCCACAAGATTAGTTGGGATTATGAGATGAGTTCAGACTGCCGGCTCAGGTAGGGTGGTCAGAGCTGTTGCTTCCACTGGGCGGCAGCTGCATTACGCTTCTGATGCAGCTCTGTTTGGTCAGCTCCTCTGCCAGCAAGGTGGGGCAATTCAGTTTTGATACATGCCCTCTATCCCAAAGATCAGCAATGTGATCCACCATCTGGCCTGCTTTGGGCGGTTGCTTCACTCCTGCTCTCAGCCTCTGTGCTTTTCCCAACCTCTGCTGGGTGCTAGTGGATCCTTTGTGAGGTTGGCTTGCCACCCCACTCCTCTCAGCCTTTATGACTCGATCTCTGCTGGGTGCTGACAGGTCCTCTGGAAGCTTGGTTTGTTGGCCTGCCCCTGCTCTCAGCCTTTATTGCTTTACCAGAATTAGTTCATTGAGAGTTCGGTGCTGAGTATTTGGCTACTTGCCCCGCCCCCATTCTCCAAGGCAGATTCAGCATTCCACCCTCCACTTCCATTGTTGGTGTTAGATTACTGTTTGTTATTTATGTTTTTCAGTTTTGCTAGGGTAGGTTCAGTCAGCCCAGGGGCTTTGCTGGATTACTTTTCCAGGGGATAAGTAGGGAGTCAGGCGTGGTGTGTGATGCTCACCTGTTCCTTCTGCAGTTTCATGCAAGCAGCTTTGGAGCCAGCTGATGGGGAGAAATGGCTCCACTTTTTTTCAGTGCAGTGTGGTGTAGGGAGACTTTCCACTGCTAGGTGTCCAGGATGTTGCAGTTTGATTCTGAATGATGCACTGTCTTCTGCTTTTTGGGAGAAAAAAAGAAAGAGAGAGAGAGAAAAAGAAAAGAAAAGAAAAAAGAAATAGCCAGAAGGCTTTTTCTACTAAGGCTGGGCACACTTTGTTGGCTGTGCCAAGCAGGATTTTCATGGCTGTTAGGTGTAATTAAAGGCTTATTTTGAGTCAGTCTTTGAATTTTATCTGCATCTGATGTGATGGCAGTTATTATTTTGACTAGGAGCAATCAGAATTACCCAGGCGTAGCTCTTATGTCTCAAGGAAGTTTCTGGTTTCATGGAGCTTAGGATTTCTGATTCCCTACCTTTTTGGATCAGCTCATATATATATTCTAATGCAGACAAAATAAACACAATTAATTTCTTATCACATTGGGCAAAAAATCAGGGTGGGCAGTAGATAGAATTAAGGGACAATCAGAACATAGAATGATAAGTTTCTGTCATTCAACAATTATTTAATAAAATACTAACAAAGCATTAAGAAATATACCAAACACTGGTATATATTAAAGACTCAAAGGAATAAAATTTATACCACACAGGAACTTTTATGGGAGGAAAAAATTGCTAATATTAAAGATAACAATATATCAGAGGATTTTACAGAAAGTGTTGAAGATAACATATTCCAAAGATTCATCAAGTAATCATAATTCATACAGTTCTCAAAAATCAGTCATTAATTTATTGTTGGATCAATCATGGCAAATTGATTGAAAAGAAAAAAAAATCTTGCAGGTTGTAATTGACAAGGCCACAATGAAGCAAGTGGAGTCTGAATTGAGTATGAACATTTAAGCAATGTATTTCAATTAATTAAGAGACAGTTCCCTTAGTCTGGGATCAGAGTTTCAACACTGGTATCTGAAGAAAAAAATTCTACATTATGACAAAAATTTGCATATCTAATTTATAGTTGATATATATCAGTCTTTGATCTATAAAGTAGCTCTGAGAAACATATAATTTATACCATATTAGAAGTTTATTATTTCTGACTTCTGACATTTATTATTTCTGACTTCAAAGTGAAAAGAATTATTTTTATCATGCACATGAGTTAAGTGCTCTACAGCTTGAGCCACAACTCCAGTCCATTTTGCTCTGATTATTTTTGAAGATGGGGTCTTGTGAACTACTTGTGCATGTTGGCCTCAAGCCATAATCCTCCCAATCTCAGCCTCCCATGTATCTAGGATTACAAGTGTAAGCCATTGACACCTGGCTTCTCCAACTCTCAAAGTGCTAATAACTTTGAATTTGAAAATTGACTTACACATGGCACATTATTTTATGCACCATTATCAAGAATGTAAAGTTTAACTTTCATACACTTTTAATATTTTCTACATGGTAAGTTTATATTAAAATTTATTTTCAAAATACCATAACTTATACTTATTACTCACAAACATTATCTGATATTTCATGTAGATGAACTGCAGATATTAAGCCTTTTCTTGCTTAACCTATAACTATGGATTATGAAATGTGAACATGAAATTTGGATATATAACTTTGTTCTTACATTCATGTAGACTTATTTTTCACAACTTCACCTTCAACTAGTGATTTCTTCATATCAAAACATATCAGATATACCAAAATGTTGTATGAGATGGTAACATTGTATTCTATGGCATTGTCTTTAACTAACTTAATTGTAACAAAAGCAGCAGACAGCATTTCATTTTACCATGCTTTATCCTACCTGAGGATCCAAGGAAACCTTTTTCCATCATTTGTGCTACCCTCCTTAGTGCCTATATTTTTATCCATACTTCTGGTTTCTCCTTGCAGCCACTCCTTAAATTTACTTTACACAGTATGTACTCCTGTAGATGGCAGTATTGGCAAGAACTTTCATTATGTACTTATACAGCTATAAAAGCCTCTTGGCCATTTCTGTGTATTTGTGAGTATACTAACCTTGGACTCCAGAGGATTAAGGTTATTAAACTACACAGCTCAAAGAACTGTTCATATTGCCAGTAATCTAATTTCTTATTTTCTGTAGCCATAGCCTCTTTAGAAAAATTGAATTTCTTTCAGAGATATGGTAAATTTTTCCATATACATAACAATATTATTCTTTCCAGGTTGACATTTTCTGGGAATCTGAAAATTCTATTTCTGAAAACAATTGAAGTAAAATTCTCAGAATTTTATTTCTGTCTAGATATTAACTTAAAGGTTTAAGTTAAGTTTACACTACCTTTAATCATTTTACCCTGAAAATATACATGGAATTTTTGGATGGAATCAGATTGCTATTTCCTACAGGAATAACCATATCAATTCCCCACATGCCCATTCTCTCTCATTTTAGAGCCATTTGATGGCAGAGAATGAATAGTCTTGTGTGTCACAAATTATGAAACAACCTACTAGTTTATTTATTTATTTATTTATTTTGCTGTACTGGGGTTTGAACTCAGGGCCTTCACCTTAAGCTACTCTACTGGCACATTTTGTGATGGGTTTCTTTGAGATAAGTGTTCATGAACTATTTGCCCGAGGTTGTTTTGAACCATGATCCTCCTGATCTTTGCCTCCTGAGTAGCTAGAATTATAGGGATGAGACACTGGCACTCAGGCTCCTA